ATTAATAATTTAAAAAAATCTTCCAAATTATAGCTAAGGCATGGAGTAAGGTGTTTCGGACAGAAAATACACCATTAAAACTACTTTTGTTACAAAATGAAAGCAAGTATCTTTAATAAATATGAAGCAAGAGTATTAGTCATGGGAAGCCTAAAATTAGTAATCAGTTCTGGTTTTTTTCTATAGCAATTGCTCACTCTTCACCCACACCCAATCAAATGTTAGTCCATGAGGATCAACTGCCTTCATACATTGATCTTCAGACCCCTGATCCAAAATACTTTGCTATTCATTATAAGCAGTTAGTTGCAACTGTGTTTTTTTAAAGAAAAAAAATAATATATGAAATACTTGGTATGAAGCATGGAGATTAATTATTTGTTTTATCTAGGTTCAGTTGAAATGTATTGCTTGATTGCTATTTAAAGTCATTCTCAATGTAGAAACCTTCCATGCCTGAAATCTGTTTGAGGTGAATCTAACTGATCACATGAACTATAATAGCATCATCTGCCTCTGGCAAATGTAGTCAATTAATTTCATATGGTTCAAGATGTTCATTCCCTTCCTTTGTGATTGCTTTAGAAAATACCAATCATATAGATCAAATGAAAGAGATCTGATATAGATGATTGTAACTACATAGAAAATTTTAAAAAGTTTAAGGTCGGTGTCATATTCAAAAGCAGGAAAAAGAAATTCTAATATACTGCAATCACATGTTCCTTTCTTTTTACATGTAATAGAAATTATATTACAAATCATCTTGTGAATTAAGGGCTTACCCAATAGAACTTTTGTGTGTGTGTGTGCCTGCAAGTCATTGTTGATATTTGGCAGCAGTCTGGACAAATACATAAAAAATTTTGACAAGGTTTTTTGAAGTGGTTTGCCATTTCCTGCTTCCCAGGGCTAAGACTGGTACAAGATTACCTAATTGGTTTTGTGCCTTAGGCAGGAGTAGAACTCATGGTCCCCAATGAGTTTTCAGGTTTCTAGTTTAGTGCTATACCCATACATTAAACTTGATCTCACAAATATTTTATGTCAATATAAATAGTAATCTAAATCTGCTTATTCAAAACCACATCCCTCTGAGTTCACCATTTATTCTCCAGGGAATGTATTTAGGATTAATATTAATATTAATCTTTGTGGATCTAGAAATAAAATTAAGGCAGAAACAAAGATAGTTACAGATATATGAAGATAGGACCTGGTTATCAGTAAGGAAAATCGAATGGAAATCTTCTGATATATTTCTTAAAATTTTCAGCATTCTATCATGGAGGAGCAAGAACTATATCAACCAACCAACCCTTTTCAGTTTAATAATTTTCACATCTTTTTATCTTTGAATGGTAAAAATTATTTCAGGATTTCAGGAAGTTATTAGTTAAAGAAGAATGGTATTTATTTATTTAAAAATTAATATAGTTTCCCATCTTCCAACCAACTCTGAGCAACTCCTAATCAAAAGTCTACTTCAAATTAGACACAATCCCACTCCAATCAACACAATACTGATTGGGGTTATCAAACTTCTAAGTAATTTTATTATCATGTACTTTTTAGTGAGATTCATATACATTTTTTTAAAAGTATGCTTCATTCACTCCCATAATATTGTTGAACTATATTATTTATCATGCTAATAGACAGCAATACAATTGCTGTATCTATAATTTAATACTGGTAGCAACATTTTATGGTATTCTTTTCAAACTATTATATTCTATATACGTCAGAAAATAACAATACATAGTTGACCTGTGACTTGAAATTAGCTTTGGAGGGGCACTTCCTGGGATTTTTAAGAATGTAGTCTAGTATCGAAAACTGAACTATATCCCCCCCAAAAGCCAATGGAATAGATTCTATATTGTTCATAAATAGTATTATTACCAAGAAAACTATGGATGTGTCCACATAGTCACCAGGTATCAAGTTTGATAGGTACACATATCTATTTCTTATGTATATGTGGTATTTTTGAAAAGGATACTTTAGTAATTTAAAATTTCTATTCATATCATGCAATGGTGAGCGTATGTATGCATATGTATATGTATAACATCGCCAAGATAGTCTTAATCTTACACAGAAAAAGACCCAAACACACCTAAACCTATGTATGTACACTTTACAACACTTTAGTCTTGGGTCGTTGCTGTAGGTCACCAGCCATCCTAACCACAGTCTGAAAAAAAATGGGACCCCCTTGTTCTACACCCTGTCTCTCTACAGTGAAGTTCAAGCATTTTTTGAATGAAAATTATTTTACAGTACCAGAAAAATGAAGCAGGGGAGTTGGCGAGATGAGATTTAGTGAAACCACTGAGATTTCTTAGTATTCTCCCTTCTATTCATCCTCCAAAGTCAATAGCACAATGTAAATAAATGCTTCAACACTGGTAGTTTTTAAGAAGAAATTGGATAATCATTTGTCTGAAATGGTAGAGGGTTTCCTGAAGGGGGTTGGACTAGAAGACCTCCAAGGTCCCTTCCAATTCTGCCATTCTATTCTATTCTAAATAGACGTTCCTTTCATATGTAGGATATGCTAGCTGGTCATATGCAGCCATAGCTAGGAAGAATAAACAGATTACCTGAAGGAAAGCTTAAGATGAAGTGGAAGATGGGTGACTAGGCTTGTGGCACATCACAGTTCTTGTATGCACCTATTGCTTACACTTAGAACAATTGACCTTGGAACAAATTTACCATACCTATGGAATACTGGAGGTCTTTTATATAAATGGTGGCTTTTAATATAACTAAAACTGCATTTTCTCATTCACACCATATTTCCCTTGAGACAACTCTTCCCAGTGAAGGTCTCTCCATTAGAAGGTAGAGAAATGAAGTACTAAAGTTCACAGTCCCAACTGGAACACTATAGTAAAGAGCAAATGAAACAGAAATATCAATTAAAATTCGGAAATAACACTACCTATCTGACTATGACACTAAAGTGAAAGTGAAATTAGTTTAATTTTTTGGCTTAATTACAAAATTGACTCTTGTAATTTAAGTAAACTGCTTAATTGCTATAACATTATCAGGGACTTCTATAACTTTTAATAACAGCTTATCCATTAAACAATTAGCTGCAAGGGTTAACCTTTCTATGTTAATATGTCTTTTAATACATAAATGGTCATACTTTTGTTTTATTTTGTTTCGCCTGGCTTTTTCCTCTGTGTAAAACTTTCTGAAATTGAATTAATCTAAAATAATGTTCAATTCCAAGTCATATTCTTTTGATTTCTTGTTCTTAGAAAAATCCTCCATTGTCATTTGCACCTCAATAATTAATATTCAAAATAAACTGCCTGTAAATAGATTTCTTCAGGTAGCATTTTGTTTCCATGAAAGTTTTAATCCTTTAAATTATCTAAGTTAGTGGTTATTATTTTCAGACTACACATCGAGATACAACACTTTAATGCATCTGAACAAACATATATCTTCATACTGAGGTCCAACTTATAGGCAGAGGGTAATACAGAATGTTTCTCTAGCTTTCTGTGGATAGTTTTAGATGAGGAAGTACTTATTTCATAATTCAGGAAAACTCTTGCCACTTTGTTGTTATTCATAAACTGACTGTTACTTTATTTGGCATATTTGCATTTTTATCATTTGATGTTTATGCAAAGGTGTGCTAGCCAGTTATAAGTACAGGTCTATAAGATATAAATTACCCATTCTATTAAGGATCAAAGGTTTTGTTTCAGTAAAGGTAAAGGTTTCCCTGTCCAGTTGTGCCTGACTCTAGGGTAGTGCTCATCTCCAGTTCTTGGACAAGGGAGCAAATGTTGTCCGAAGACATTTTCCATGGTCATATGGCAAGCATGGCTATATGCTAAAGGCATATGGAACTCTGTTACCTTCTCACCAAAGTGATACCTATTAATCTACTTCATTTGCATGCTTTGAACTGCTAGGTACGCAGCACCTGGGCAAGGAAGTGGGGGGGGAATCAGATAATACTATTTGTTACACACTTGACACTCTATTCCCATTTAGACTTGCTTCAGTGGATAGGCCTATAGAGTCTTCTGAAGTTTCACAACTTTGTTATTTAAACACATAGTAAGTGAAATATTACATAGCTTCATGCCAGTTTTTATTATTAAGACTTTCCTAACAGTATCTCTTATAAACAGTGTTCTCTTTTATACACCTGATTTTCAGGATACTAGAAAACTAAGCCATTTCCTGTATAAGGTACCACTTCTTTCACACACAAGAGAAATCCAGACTTCAACGTATTCCTACATCTAACAACTATCATTTTTTTAAAAAAAATTGAACAGATAACCTAATCATACAAAATAATGTCACAAATATATGCCAATCTGAGCTATTAGGGAAACAATCATGACAAATATACAGATGTAAGAATTTGGACTTCTGTGCAATGTACTTAGATGATGCTTAGTCTTCAATAAGGGAATGGGACCTTGGTTACTCTCCCTTTGTGTGATAGGTCTACCTTCTAATTTCATATCCACTTAATATAACAGGACATTGTGGTATTGTGCAACATCTGGATATCAAAATAATGTGCATAACCATCCCTGGAGCACTTTAGCCACAGATATATGAGGCTAATGTACATGGCAACAGCTTGTTTACCTGAGATGTATATGCTGGCAAGAAACTTACCTGTGCCAATGCAACATCCAATCACCATTATAAGCCTTGATCTGCCTTACATAAATGGGGGGAAGGGGAAAAGGCAGCCTTCCCCAAACTGGCTAGATTTTAGACAGAAACCACATTGGGAAGGTTACACTAAAGTGCTTCTTATAGTGATTGTGATGGTGATATATAAAATAAAGACAGTAAAAGTTGCAACTCTATTTCCTCCAGGAGATTCTTTTGAACAAGCCCATGTACCATGGTGTAGCAGGGGCCTTTCAAAGATTAGGAGCGCTTCCTACTCTCTGTCTAGGTGCGCTCTCCCTCCTTCCCAGGCTCTTCTCGCTTACCCTGGCGGCGCGGGAAGAATAGGGGTCCTCGAAGAGCGCCCAGATGCGCGGTCGGAGCCTCTTCCAGCGGCCGCCGTTCCCGTCAAGAGGAGACCCGTTAGCACAGGAAGACGAAGAGGCGCCCAGGGCACCCACGTCCTCGATGCCCAAGCGCTTGGCGGCTAACTCGTCGTCGTCGGGGTCGCCAGGAGGCTCGCCGGTAATCAGGTCGGGCGCCTCGAAGATGTCCAGCGCCTCCTCAGCGTCGCGGTGCTGCCTGTAGGTCATCCAACAGCAGGGCTCCACGTCGGTCTCGTCGATGCCCCAGAAAGCCAGCTCTTCCTCGAAGAGCGGCCCGCACACGTCGGCGGGGCAGTGCAACTTCCCGGTGCGGTAGTAGTTGAGCACGTAGGCGAAGACCCCCGGGTGACGGTCGAAGAAGAATTCGCAGCTCGCGCCGCTCCCGCCGCGTGTAACGCCGCCGCCATTGGCCCGCGAACTCCAGCCGCTCCCGCCCACGGTATCCAGGGGGCCGCCGCCGCCTCCAGGATTGGGGGCCGGGTTGGAGGCGGGCAGAAGCGGCGGCTGGTGGTGCTTCTCTCCGCCGCCAGGGGAGTCGCCTTGGGACTGGCAGGCGAGCAGAGCCAGCCGGGTGCCCGGCAGCGTTTTCAGGGTGCTCCGGTAGGTCTCGTGCCTGGTGCCCCCGACGTTGAGGATCACCCTCTCGTTATCCTCGAGCTTCCCCATCTCTGTGACTCAGACATGACTGCGGGCGAGAAGGAGAGAAGAGATGTGCAAGGCACTTATTTTAAGGCCGCCTGTGGAAAAGACAACAGACTACTAAGTACCAAGCAATCAAGCGGGGAGCGGGAGGAGAAAGGAGCCTTCTCCCAAGGCGCCCTATAGGGAAAGGGAAGGCATATTAAAGGAAAGTCCCACAGCCGGGGACAAGAACAATCCCAGAGCCCTCTTTCCAACTTAGACACCTCCTTTGGAATCCGGCTCCTGCTTGTACCCACAGTGAAATCGTCCCACTCTGAAGTCTTCCTTTCCCCTATTTTTCCGTTCCACACGCTTGTCCTTGACCAAAACCAATCTCTTACCGCATCTCCTAATTTGTTCCTTCAAAGTTCTTTCCAAAGTGGGGATAGTAGGCAGGTTATTGGACCTCAGCAGCGAGAAAGTTACTCTCCATCGACTCAGGAGCAAACCTGGCACTCCTAATAGCTATTGTCCTGAGCAAAATCCAGCGCAGGGTCCTCATACTCCTGCAAAAGCATCCTTATTTAGCTTATTATCAGGTGGCTTCTTTTCCTCATCCCTGTCTCCTCCCCTCCTTCCTGTTCCAATGATGGTCTGGACTCTTCCTATAAATGTGCACCCGCCCACCCATTCCAATACAGTCGGAGCTAAAACGCTGTTTTCCTTTAGCAGCCGTCAGCTTGGTCAACCTTAGTCATATTTCCTCTTTGGAATTCTTGAGATCAAGTTGTCTAAACTAAAAGGTGGCATCTGTCCATCTTCTAATTTTAAAAGTAAAATACCTCCAGAAGACAACAGAGCTTGACTGGTGACAAAAACAGTCTTTATGCCCCTCCCCATCAACGATCTCTAGGCACACCCTGAACAGAATCAATCTTAATGTAACCTTACCAGCAGATTCCTATCGCCAACATCCTCGCCAGATTTTGTCAATTGATTAACAGAAACATCCTGTGATAGTCACTCCCCTCTCCACCCCCCACCCCCCCTTATTTTCACATCTATCTCAATACCTTAATGACGGAGAGAAAGAGGCTTTTCTTCACGTCCCAGTCGCTCTTTGTCCTTTCTCAGTTGCCTCCAGACTCCTTGTGTGCCCGTATCAAACGAAGAATTCCTCTTTGTGTGGCTTTTCCGTCCATCTTCAGGTGGCCATTCCAGCGCCCTTGACTGCCAGCTCCGAACGCAATAAAAGCAACCCCCACCTGCTGCTAGGAAACCTATCTTCTGTCCTTGTGCAAAATAGATGAGACGCTTTATAGCATCAGGCAGAGAAAAACCACCACAAAAACATGGGGGATGGAAAGCGTATCAACAGAATGGGCTCCCAGCAAAGGAAAGACTCACTGCTGTTTTAAGCAGACGACTCTTCAACTAGCCCCTGCTATGACTCCAATGTGAACCAGAAACGCGGCTCCTCGCTTTTTAACAGACGTCGGAGGAAGAGAGCTGTCCTTTCAGCACCACTCTCCAGAAATTACTGTTCGTGACAGACCTTTTGCAATTCTTTCTTTGGATAGTGTAACTGCCACAATCATTAAAAACAATCTTCCAAAAATTAAAATAGAGACAAAAATGCTCTAAAGAAAGCATCATCTCCCTCTTTTCCCTTTACATGTTGATTACACCAAAATAGGAGCATCTAATTTGATCTGATGGGAGCAGCAAAAGTGACACTTAGCTACATGTGCGAATGACACAGAGAACCTCAACACTTTGGCAGAATACTTAATGGTTTCAAATATTCAATGACTGGCCACCTTAACACTGAAGGAAACATAATAGTGATGATGATGATGATGATGATATTTCTTTAGGTATCTGTTTATAATTTTACATCCCAATCCCACTGATCTTGCAAAATAATTTCTCTATAATATTCTAGCTGTCTCTGTGAATAAATATCTTGGATCAACACAACCCTGCCATAATACTCAGAAATTCAAATTTAGTAGCATGCACTTAATGGTTTCAAAGTTCTAGAGAATCCTTTAAAAGTACCGTGAAATGAAGAATAAGATGAATGCTTCTGCCTCCTTCAGAAAATGAAGAGAGAAATCACTGCATCATACAATAATATTTTAAAATATCTTTCAGTGATGAATATGGAGAAAGATGCAATCATAAAAAGTAGTACAATTCATTGACGATTATTTTCCTCTTTTGAGCAGAGTTCGGGGAATCTGAAGGATATCAGGTTGAGATGTGTGCCTCCTATTCAGATTCTAAACAGTTAAACTTTTTTGTACTTGATAGGCATTTGTCACTGAAAATCTCAAGAACTTCCTGAAGATAACTATGAAATATTTAAATGCACTACTATCTTTTACATGCTCTCTCAATCAAATATCAGTTTGATCCCCCAAATAATCTCTGATATCTCCAAGATATCAAAGGAAATGTATATTTTCACTGGACAGTATAAATATACATAGGAGACACCATGAGAGAAATGTCCCAAATAACCCTTAGAAACTGCCTGCACCCAATAAAGTCTAGGGATTTGTTTGCAATGCAGGTAACTTTGCATTGCTTGAATCAAATTTATATCTCTGCTTGTGTGTTCATTCCTTCCAGGTTTTTTTTTTATTAGAAACACATTTTGTGACTATATGAGATGTTTTTGGGTTAACCAGTCAGGCCCTGGGGAATTTTTTGTTTGCTTCTTTCTTTATATCAACTTCTTTTTTAAAAAAAACCCATTAATAATGGATTTCAGAATTATATTTTCAACTATAAACTTATTATTAAACTCTTGCATATTATGTTTTTTCTTTCACTATTATTAGTGCGTAAGAAATCAAAACATAATATATTTTAAAAAACACAAGCAGTCCCCAGTTTGAAAAATCCATTAAGAATTAAAAATACACGAGACTCCTACTACAGAGAATTCAGCAACAAATGTTATTGAAAGATAGTTTAAAAGAATCTGCTTAGCACTTTTTCATATTTGAAAAGAAATTAAAATATGAAGTACATTTGTAATAGTCTGCTTCAACTGTATGTGAAAGTCTATTAATACAAAGTAAGTCAGACATATACATATGTACAGGTTTATTAATGTAAGTAAAAGAGAATAAAAAGACAAAACATGATATACAACTTTTTCCCCCGCACACCATTTCCTAATGTCTTATCCTAATATGTTCAGCTTCATAGTTCACTTCATTGTCCACTTTGATTTTCTTTTATAATTGTTTTTAAACTAGAAGCTTAGTGCAAAACAAACATTTTGAAAAGAAATGTGGAGCATTTTGAGTTCAGGAAATTATTTGGTATACCAAGACTGAATGTAAGTCACAATGCTGCCATGAAAAATCCAACACTGCCAAAGATCTAATTTCTGCTGCTATTTTTAAAACAATCAAAACTCACATCATCTGGGTAACTGACAGATCAAACCTATCTGCTCCACACTCCTGCTATGAAAGATAACATAAGAATGCATTGCAGAACTATTTTTTTGCTCTCAGGCATCCTATGAATTATGTCAGTAACTATCAGTATCTGTGAGAAGGGTGGTGTCATCTTGCCTTTTCTCATATCTCTCCACAAATTTGCTGAACAGAAATGTTACATATAAGAAAGCACAAGCTCACTGAAGCAATAGATGTGAGGCACATGGAATTATTTTGTAGACTGCCCAACAACTCTGTTCACATTCTTATAATTTATTTCTTTTGAACGTCAATGGTTATTGTGCAGAGAGAACTGATTAAATATGTACTGTTAAGGCTACAACTTATAATAGATATTTTCCTGTGCTGAAATTCTTTAACTACAATACAATAACATTTTCTATAACTAGATCTCCTAAATATTGTCAAATGAATGTCTACCCATCTTTTTTTTCTACACATCTTTATTTTCACTTGTGGAGCAATTCTAGTTGTGAATAAGGATGTGAACACAATATGAGGGGATATGGCCATTCATGCTAGCTCCTTATTTATACATCTGCCTATTTAGGCATGGATTTCCTCACAGTAAGTGGGAACTATGAAGATTCTACTTTATAAAGTTTTAAGAAATAATTAAAATACAAGTTGTTCAAGAAGGCTTTTGATATTTGAATGTGACCATTTAGTTATTTACTTCTCATTTTGGCTTATTATTGTAAGAACTTATATTTTTGGTGTCATTTTGTGATTTTTAGCTTTCAGCTGTTTACTATGATATAGTGTGGGTATTTTTATTACAAATCATGAATTATAACCCACTGAGAGCTGATTGACTGTGGTATGCTAAAACTGAATAAATAAACTATATTTTTGTTCAGTTGAAAAATGAAACCCTTTATGTCAGGGGTCGCCAATGTTTGAACCTCAGGGATCACCAAACTCATAATTTTAAATCCCATGGACCAGAGACCCTGGGAAAATCCCCAAAAATGTCTGCAGGAAAATTCCCCATCCCATTTTTCTACCAGTTGATCATTCTTTATTTGGGATTTCAGGATACTGTTTCCAGCTCCATTCTCAGGGAGGGAGAGAGAGACTTTTGGCTTCATGCAAGGAAAGCAGCAGAAGCAGCAGAAGTCTTTCTTTCTCTCCCCCAAACTCTGCCAGAAATGAGTCTTTGTGAGACTTGTCATGCTGGCGCAGCCTCTTGGAGCAGGATGCCTTGCAGGGTCCCAAAGATTCATTTCTGGTGGAGTTTGGGGAGAGAAAGACAGACTTTTGCTGTTTTCTTTGCATGCAGCCAAAAGCAGAAGAAGAAAGAAGCAAAAAGAAGCAGCCTGGTGGCCAGGCCAGGTGCATGGGGCAAGTGGGGCAAGTTCCTCCCCTCTGCCCTTTCCCCCTCCCCTCACTATCTCGTGTTGTTCGCAATGCAAGCGATGCAAGCCTTGTGTTCCTACGCAGCCTGGATTAATTGCTTTGGGGGGTGCCTTGGGGGTGACATTTCTATGCGGACCACCAAAAATTTCTTGTGGACCAGCAGTGGTCCCCAGCCCACTGGTTGGCAACCACTGCTTTATGTGA